GATTTTCAGGTGGGTTTTTATAAGAAAAATTGAGATGATTCCTCCACCCCGGATTATAAGTATTGGAGAATGGGTCTCCCTTCTGATTAAAGTTATTAACATAGTTAACATGTTCATTATCAGAAGTATTAAGGGATGAGGGGTTTCCTAATTGACATTCAAGTGCAGAATGACCCACATAACCGCATATCTCACATGCAATTGAAGTAGACGCCACAGAATTAATACTCAAGCCTTCAACTTTCTTAAATAAAGCATCAACTTTAGAGGATATATGGTCTAAAGCATCTATTTCATACTTGCCTCCTTTTGATGTCTGAGGAGCACGCTCGTTCGCCCATTGATAGTGATTCTGAGCCATGTCTTCAATGAGAGTGTATGCCTCGTCTATTGTTTTGTTCATCAAAGCTCCTCCTGCAGCAGCATCAACAGTCATCCGTGTGTTGTAAGTGAGCCCGTTGTAGAAGGTGTGAACAATTAACCACTTCTCCAGTCCATGGTGAGGGCACATCCTCAATAATTCCTTGTAGCGTTCCCAAGCTTCATAAAGTGACTCTCCTTCCTTCTGTACAAAGCTTGTGATCTGGTTCCTCATCTGTGCTGTTTTACTTGGAGGAAAATACTTTGCAAGAAATGCTCTGGACAATTGATCCCAAGTGGTGATGGACCCAGCTGGCAATGAGTGCAACCAAGCCCTAGCCTTGTCCCTTAGAGAGAACGGAAATAATCTGAGTCGAATAGCATCATTGGTCACTCCATTAAGTTTCAAAGTGTCGCAATACTCCAAGAAAATCGATAGGTGGAGGTTCGGGTCTTCAGTAGCACCACCTCCAAACTGATTATGCTGAACCATTGAGAGCAGTGATGGTTTCAGCTCAAAGTTATTAGCTTTAACATTGGGCCTTGTAATGCTTGACTGTGTGCCTTGAGCATTTGGGGCTGCGAAATCCTTAAGAAGCTGATTTTGATCTCCCATCGTAGCTTGTTCTGTGTTCCTTTGCTCCCTTATAGACCTTCTTATGTTTGCAAGAGTCACCGATAGTTCAGGATTGTTTTCGTCGTTTACTTCTGTTTGATTCCCTTGCATAAAAGAAAGTGAGAAACAAAAAGAAATAAAAAAATCTAGTCTAGCTTAATAACGTAAGCACTCAATATTAACACCGTAGTCCTCGGCAACGGCACCAAAAACTTGGTAGGCAAAATCTACAAGCGCACAGACTCGTTGTAGCTATCAAGGTTGATCCCACAGGGACTAGGGTTAATTACCAAATCTCACGTTATTCGACTAGCTAAATCTAATGAGTAAATGAGAAGAGATAAAAATTAAAAGAAATAAAATAATAACTAATCAGGTGGAATTCAATATAATGAAGAGCCAGGATTGGGTTTTCACCATAACTTCGATGCTCAATGATGAATTATTTTAGTTCTCGGTGTTGGTTTAAACTAAAAAGGGTGAATTAGTCTAAATTAATCTAAAGCCTCTTTCAAGGTCTAAAGATCATGCCTAATTAATCTCAATTAACCTACTTTCGTGGAATTAAGATTAAGTTAAACTCATTAAGCTTTATGCTAATCTAAATCAAATCCCCAAGGAATCTAGCCTACTTTCGTGGTTCGAGCTCACTGCTTAATTTCTAGAGATCCGGTATTAATCTTCACCTTTCAGTCCTTTAATTAATTACCTATGATTGCTAATACGGTGATCAAGCGAATCAACAAAATTAAAACACTAGAAATCAAGTTCAAAGATTTAAACTTTCACCAAGAACCTATATCAATTCATCATCAATCACCAAAAAGTTGGGCTCTTTCCCAATCCTAGATAAGAAATCTACTCACACATGATTGGGATAAGAGAATACATCAAATAATTATGCAAATCAATCATAAGAAGAAATAAATCAAAGAGAGGAAAGAATTAACCCGTCTTTCAATTGAGATCTTCAAAATCAAAACTTGTAATCCAATCTTGTACAAGAAATTAGTGTCTTTCTTCAATACTTGAACTCTAAAATAATTGCTAATTGATGGCTAAGAGAACATAACAAAAAGATCCCCAAAACCCTAAGTCAAAACATCTATTTATATATTCCCAAAAATCTAGAAATTAACTAATTCCCGCGTCACAGGTGTGGTCTGCACCACACCAGGGTGTGGTAGGCGCTGTTTTGCTGATTTTGTGCTTCTTTGTTCAGTTTTCGGTATTTTGGCTATAACTTTTGCGTCCGACCTCGGAATGAGGTGATTCAAGTTGTATTGGAAACCTGTTGAAGAGATCTACAACTTTTAGTTTTTGAGTTTTTCTTGATTCAAACTGCATCATGGTTGAATTTCCAATTCTTCATACTCGTGCATCCGTTTTCTTCACGAACTATGCCTTCGAAATCTTGTTATTGCTTCAAACTCTTGTATAACTTCCAACGATCATCAAATATTTCAATCTTGAGCCAATACCTACATATTAACTTCCAACGATCATCAAATATTTCAATCTTGAGCCAATACCTACATATAAGAACACAAACCACAGCAGTATCCTCGATCTAAACACGAAACATATAAGAACACAAACCACAGCAGTATCCTCGATCTAAACACGAAATATGTATTAAACACTCGTAAATCATGCTTGTAACACACTAAGATAATGTATATTTTACGTGTTTATCAGTATGTTTGTATAAAATTCTGTATTACTTTCTTCTACTCGAATAGTAACTAAATTCTCCTACCTCCCAAGCCCTCAAAGTTGTATTCAACAGGATGTTCCTCTCTTTTAAGTGACTCGACAAAAAGGATGCATTTGCTAACCTGCTACTGGAGTGGTTGCAACTTAACCTTTATTTGGGGCTAAAGCGTCTCATTTCCTTAATACCATTCAATTGTCTTTATCCTGATAAAAAACAATTCTCTGTGATTCCCCGTGTCTTTGGTTCTACGTGTTATGTTCAGGATTTAACTGCTGGTTTGGATAAGTTGTCATCTAGATCCATCAAATGTGTTTTTGTTGGATACTCTCGTACTCAAGAAGGATATAGGTGTTATCATCCGTCTACCAGGAAATATTTTGTGTCTGCTGATGTTACCTTTTTTGAGTATGTCCCATATTTTTCGTCTGGTTCCACTACTATTGGCTGTCCACAGGTACCACTACCTTCTTCTGCTCCTACTACTATTCCATTACCTGCATCTATACCTAGGTCATATGAGGAAGCTATGTTAGTACCAGCTTGGAAGCAGGCCATGGATGAGGAAATGAATGCACTACTTTCTAGAGGGACTTGGGACTTGGTTTCTCTTCCTACTAGAGCGACTGTGGTTGGTTGCAGATGGGTGTATACCTTGAAATATCGTCCTGATGGGTCTGTTGATAGATATAAAGCTCGCCTGGTTGCTAAAGGATATACCCAGACATATGGTATTGACTATTTTGAAACCTTTTCTCCCGTTGCTCGTCTCAACTCCATCAGAATTCTTTTCTCTCTGGCTGTTAATATGGATTGGGCGATGCACCAACTAGATGTGAAGAATGCTTTCCTTTATGGTGATTTGGACGAGGAGGTTTATATGGAGCAACCTCCTGGATATGTTGCTCAGGGGGGGAATATTATCTGCAGGCTGAGAAAGGCTATCTATGGGTTAAAGCAGAGTCCTCGAGCTTGGTTTGATAAGTTCAGCAAGGTTATTTCTAATGTTGGTTTCCAACGTTGTCAGTCTGATCACTCTGTCTTTCTTCGACGCACAACAACTGGTTTGGTTATTTTAGCCGTATATGTTGATGATATTCTGCTGACTGGGAGTGACTCTATTGCCTTAACTGAGACTAATGAGTATCTAAACCGTTATTTTATCACTAAGGACATGGGAAAGCCAAAGTATTTTCTTGGGATTAAAGTTGCATATCAAAAACATGGCCTGTTGTTGTCCCAAAGGAAGTATGTGCTAGATTTACTAGAAGAAGCAGGTCTCTTGGAATGCAAACCTGCAAGCACTCCAATGGAGGCAAATGTTGATTTGTGGCGTGATGATACCTCTCTCCTAGATGATGCTGGACGATATAGGAGACTAATTGGGAAGCTAATATATTTGACAGTTACCAGACCTGATATTACTTTTGCAGTAGGTGTATTGAGCAGGTTTATGCACAAACCTAGAGAGGTTCATTGGACAGCAGCTCTGAAGATTTTGGCATATGTCAAGAGTTGTCCTGGCAAAGGATTGTTATATAAGAAGCATGTACATACTCACATTTCGGCTTTCTCTGATGCTGGCTACGCAGGAGACATGGGAGACCGGAAGTCAACCTCAAGATTTTGTACTTTTGCTGGAGGTAATCTTGTGACTTGGAGAAGCAAGAAACAAGATGTAGTATCACGATCTAGTGCAGAGGCCGAATATAGAGCAATGGCTCACACTGCTTGTGAGATGGTGTGGCTAAGAAAGTTTATGACAGAGCTTGGTTTTGTTCAGCCTGGACCCATGCCAATGCATTGTGACAACCAGTCTGTCATTTATATTGCACAGAATCCTGTGTTTCATGAGAGGACAAAACATATTGAAGTTGACTGCAACTTTGTCAGAGATGCTTGGGAGAAGAAGATAGTATCTCTCATATTCACTCCGTCCTCACAACAACTTGCTGATATTCTTACCAAGGCTACTTCTTCAAAGGTGTTCTCTACTATATGTGACAAGCTGGGCATGGTAGACATCTATGCTCCAGCTTGAGGGGGAGTGTTAAGTTAAATATTGGGTATTGGGTTAATGGGCTGTTACCTGTTAATCTTAACCCTATTTGTATGGCTATATATATCTCTCTTGTTATTCTCAATAAACTATTAGGGTTTTCTCTATTTTCTACATTCGGCATCATGGATATGCCATTGAATCATAATAACAGAGTGAAATATTAGTTGTTAGCAAAGGGTAAGGTGTAGGCTCCAACAAATTAAATTAAAATGACATTAATTGCCAAAACCCAATTATATGTTGCTAGCATGAAATCTGACTTACACTGCATTTTGATCTTTTATCTGTTTTATTACATTGTCTCTACAGGGAAACTCAAATGCATATTGCAGGTAACTGATGACAAAAAGGAAAAGATTTAACGTAATCAAATAATTCTTGAAGATCATGCGGTCCTTCAGAGGGCAAGAACATCAGGGTCTAGCTGTGTGAAGTGAGGGCTTTGATGTGCCAACTGAATTAGTTCATGATCGTCACAGGTGTCTCGATAAGTTTCTAAGTTCACTATGGACCTTCGTATAGCAGCTGTACAAAGTTCTTTTCTCCAGTCTTCCAGATGGGAAAATCCACAGTTATCTCCATATTTATCACAGTACTGCCATCAAAATGAAAAGATCTCACAATTAATATTTTAGGAACAAGATAATGAATTGGCATTCACAGAGAAAAGAATGATAGAACACTATGGCAGTTCCTTTACCTCTGTTTCAGAGGACACTGCTATGTAATTTTAGAGTATATGACTTGCTTTCAGTGAAAAGGTTGAAGAAATTGTGTATATGTTTTCTGTTAAGCCTTTACCTATATCGTTGGACCCAATAATGCATGAATACAGAAGTACATCTTGTGCACATCTCCACTTTTATCATTAGCATTTGGAACATGGAAGTATATATTGTTACCTCAAAGTCAGCGATATCATGTGTGTTATGCTTTGGTATACCGGCGACTTCCCTTGAGTGATAGAATTCCTCGACGGCCCTCATCATAGCATCAGATGACGGTAGTTTTCTTCTGCCAGACAGCACCTGAGCTATCCATTTCGCTTGTGATTCAAAGAATGGAAGCCCTAAGATCTACAACAATAAGTTAGTAAAATCCCTGTAGCCTAGTAGTAGGAAGCCAAATCCTTAGAGGTACATTTGATCAATCTAAGATTTTAAGAGAACCTTTAAGATGAATCCTAACTGAAAGTTATCTATCAGTAACGATATATTTGTTTGATTACTCATTCTCCCATCCACCTTTCAGCATTTAGTGTTGTCTCTCTGACGATGACGATGACAATGATATTGATTGTTATCATTGGCATAGGAATATGTGCACATCATGAATGAACGTACAAAATATCATTTGAGGTATTTTCACCGTCTCGTAAGGTTAAGATTTCATGCTTACCTTCCTTGGAACGCCTACAAATGATAGAGATGGAGCAAGTGATGGTGGAAATGTGTGCTCATACAAAGGTCCAACTCGGTTGTCATCTATAGTGACTATTCCATTGGTGTCAAGAAATGGGAATGAATACGAATACCTTAAAAGAAAAAGAAAGTATACTCATCAACACTATGATATGCATCATTATTCTTGAAATTCATGCAATATTTGTCAGTGGGAAAAAAGTAACCACACCAAATACTTCATGTATGTCTCACCCAGTGCAGTAGATGATTGAGTCAGCGATAACCCAAGATCCATCAGCAAATAGAACTCTTCCATCTTCGCAAAGAGAGTCTATCTGAAATTAGACATTTCAAATTAGCAAATAATGTTTTGATTATGGCAAATTTGCTTCATGCATATGAAACTATTGTAACTTTGTTTTGCTTTAAATGTTTACATGCATGCATACCTGTAGATGTATGTGCAGGTTTTGATATTTGGAAATGACTTTTGAGAGACCCTCAGAGATTTGAAGGGATTTGGCACTGAGATGTACTTCTTTTGCTACATCCACCAGCTCCAGTGATATGTCTCGGCCGCTATATGAGTTCCCAACAACAACAACTACCTGCATATAGTGTTTAAATAAGGTGAAGTACAGTTAACTGTACCAAAAATTCAATGAGAAAATATACTATAGTATTCATACAAACCAAAAATCTTTTACTGGTAATTTCCTCACAACAGATCATTTTTTTTATTCTGTAATTGGTACACATGTTATGTAGAAAACTTGACATTTATGTACAAAAGAAGAATTTGTATCTCTAAAATGAGAAAATTCTTCCAACCTCATTTTGGAAAGGCGCAGGAACTCTATACACATGGCTGTGAATCTGCTTCCTTGTCCATGTATCCATTCCTTCGTACAACAGGTGACAAACATCAGAATCAACCTAAAGAATGAATCCATCTGAGTTTTCCCCAATGTTCTACTGCTTTGATAGAGAAAGGGAGCACTCACCTCTAATGATTGGAAATGTAGGTTGAGAATAATGACCGGTGGCTACAACTACTGCATCAAAAATCTCCTCCTTGACCTTCTCGGTCTTTGTTTCTCTGAACCTGACAACCCATTCTGTATTTTTTCGAGTTTCTGCAATGTCCACCATGCCGACATATTCCACTCTAGTGTTGAACAGTATCAGCTCTCGCAGTCCAAACCACTGACAGAAATCTCTGATATACAAAAGAAGTTCTTTATGGCCTGGAAACCTCCTCGTATCTCTTCCTTTCTTCGTCACAAACGGGAAGTCTGTGTAGCCCATAGCCTCTCTTGGAGTCATAATCCTGAGGGAGTTGTAGATACTACTGTGGACTCTCAAGAGAGTGAATCTACCCAAAACATCTTCATGCTCGACTCTAGGGTCATAAAGCCATTGCCCTCCGACGTCATGATTCTGCTCTAGTACGACGACAGAGTGACCTTCCTTTCTTAGCTCCCTTGCGGAGACCAGCCCCGAAGGTCCTGCACCGATCACACACACGTGCTTAGAGCTGGCTTCCTCAGGGTGCATTTCTGGTTCTTCGGTGATTGTCTGTGATGCCCAGTTTTCTAGTAGTGTTTATAGCTTTTTGTGGAAACTTTTGTGTGCAGGAAAAAGATTGTGTCTTGTAGGAAAGGTTTGAATGCAGGTTAATGTGATGTATACGTGTAAAAGCTGATTGCAGTTATTTTAATTTCCTATAGTTTTTAGGTAAGGTGTACATGTGTGCTGGTGAAAGAGTTGTAACGAATCTTACTGTGAGGGATTCAAGATTACAGACAAATGCAACTTAAATCATAGATTGTGGTAATTATATTTTCATCGCTAAGGTAGAACCATCTACGTATGATGAAATCAACTTTTATCAGATGAAACCTCAATAATAGGCTTGGCAAAAAAGGTTCTATAATTTTTACTGTTTCTAGCAACTTTTATTCATCAGGAAGAAAGTAACCGTGTTAGATGGGTTATGTTAGAGTCTAACATATAACCATCGTCTCTCATCACAGCTTTAAAGTTTTTGTGCATTGATATTATCCTTTGATATGGTATTAGAGAATCAAGATTCAATTCTTACCGGCCCTGAATTTAAAACAGGTTTTAAAAAGAAAATAATACCATTACATAAGTCCATGTTTTAATCATAAAAAGATCATTCAACTTATGGGGGCAAGTTCGAGTATACATATAACCCTCATCCCTCATCGCAATTTCAGAGTTTAGTTATACTGGTAGCATACTTTGATAGTTCCGTGTATATTGATCTTGAGTCGGCCTGAGTTTTTGACAGTGCTTCATCACGTGGAAATAATTCAAAATTCTCCAATTATATTATCTCACTGATATTTCAACTTCAATGAAATCCATAGGACATGAAATGTTGTTCATATGCTGTCTTTGTACAAACAACAGCTTACTCTCAGGCCTACATCAAAATGACCTCCCTGCAAGAGATCTGTCGCAAGAAAAATGACAAAAACCTCATCAAAATATAGCTCTCAACCTATTTAACAATAAAAAAAGACAGCAAAAATAACAATGTTAATCACCTCTTCATTTTCTTAGTGTCATTTGTTGTGCGCGGTGCGGAAGCGGTCGAATCACACAATCCGAACAAGAGAGATCACAACCAAATAAACAAGCACAATCACCAAATAACACAAGAGATTTATGTGGTTCGGCAAGTTGCCTACGTCCACAGGGCAAGGAGGAGGGAGTTCTTACTATAAGAAATCAAGAGAATACAAATAGAGTTACAAATCTCACCGATCAAACCCTAAAACAAAGCTCTAGATCTCTCACAACTCTTCCACAATTGGATGCAACAATTCTCTCTTCAAGGCTGCTCAAAATCGTCCTTGAGTTAACCCTAACAAATCACGTTTAGGGATATATATAACTTAGAAAACGAATCGGGTTAAAAAACCGAAACCCAGTCCAAAAAACAATAGTCCCTCAACAAGTCAGGGAACCAATCTAGAGACGAAACGCGATCTCCCCCTATCTGAATCAACTGATCAAACCGGCTGCATCTGAAAGACTGCCTACGTATCCTCTTGCCTAAGGAATCAAGCCGAACGTAGTTCACCCAAATGGCCTCCAAAAGCCTCAATCCACTAGAAGAGTTCGCAACCCTTCTCCAACATCACGATCAAGTCTGCGGCTGATAGCACCTCCAATGGCCTCAAACTGAACTAATTCAAACATCTCCACCTGAGATGAACCAATGGCCATATCCAGACTACATCTATCAGCTGTACTCAAATTAATCAACCTATCATCTGCATCCAAATCAACATGATTCCCAATCTGTGTCACATCAGCTGAAATCTCAAATGATGTAGTATAATCTGGAGTTTCCACCCAATGTGGAGTAGCATCACTCTCCACCCGCTACGATGTCCCAAAGATCTGATCACCACTCTCCACCTGCCGAGAGTCAAACGTGACATACCTGCTCAGAACAAAGTCAGAAGCCAATACGTGATAATCAAACACGCATCTGAATCCCAAATGTGCTATCGGATCAAATCTCACATCCACGATGTGATCAGGTGCTGGGTAGCCAAACATCCGACGCAACCCAAAATCTGAAACAGCTCCACCAGATCCCATATCTCTACATGCAGCAGTCGACAACCTATACATGAAACGGCCCAAACCTATCATAGCCTGCACACTAATGACAATGCTTGACATCAAACGCCGATCCTCCTCCAGAAAGGAACAGCTGCCCAAATCTGCCATCTCGCCTTGTCGCCTCAAAGTTTTCACACCAACGAAGTGTCTACTATTGCCGTGAGCTCGGCACAAATGCAAGAAAGAACCCCTACTATAATCAGAACGTTGGGTTACCTTTCTACCAACACACTTCCTCCATCTGTTGCGGGCTTCTAGGACTTCACACCAACGGGACTTGGTTGCAACCCACCAATGCCTAGAGCAATCACCAACTGTGGAAACTACATACCTATTACCTCCTAATAATGCTCCCTTGGAAGGCTCCCGAATGCCTGAATGAACACCCCTCAGAAAACCCCTCGAATGATGGATAGAAGTGCCAAGCTCCACCTCGGTCTTCTCGCTCATACCAATGGGTTCACAGGACTTCAAACTGTAGGTCAAAGCACTCCTCAATAACCTATGCACGATATTACCAATCAAATAACCCAGCATCAAACAACGCCACAGTCTAGCCAAATCTGATGAAGTCGTCATCTCCCTATCAATCGTCGTGCTTCCGAACAAATAATACAAATTGCTCCTCCTGACACCCTTCATCACAATCATGGACCCCAATGTGACCTTCAAACGTGCATCCACCAAGGTCACTTTATAGCCAGATGCCACCAAAGCTCCTAGTAAAATGATGTTCTTCGATAACTGTGAAACGAACCTCACTCCTTCCAACTCCTGAATCACTTCGTCATACATCCGAATACGAACGGTACCAATACCACCAATAAAGCATGCATGTCCATTACCCATGAGCACAACATCCTCTCTTTGCAACTTCCGAAAGCTGGAGAACCAATCCCTCCTAGGAAAAACGTGGTATGAAGCACCCGAATCCAACATCCACTCTGTAGAGTTGGCAACACAAACTGACAGAAGTGCAGACAATGAATAGCCCGAAGAATCCAAATCTAAATGGTTGCCACTAGTCTTGACAATATTCACCTCTGAAGCTTGTACAGCTTTCCCCTTATTCTTCTCGGCTCGATCTAACTTTGGGCATTCGGTTTTCCAATACCCATCCTCTTTACAAAAGACACACTAATTCCTACGAATCCCACAATGTGCACCTCTAGACTGTGACCTCCTACTTCGGTTTGAACCATGGCCATGAACTACTAATGCATCTCCTGATGTCTTCTCGGAGGACTCATCAACACTCTTCCTCAACTCATAATTCACCAACGCTGAGGTCACCTCCTTATAGCTAACAGTAGTTCTTCCATTAATCATAGTGAGAACAAATGTACCATAATCATTCTTGGATAACAAACACAAAAGTAGCATCGCCTTGTCTTCATCCTCAACCATAATATCCACATTGGCCATGTCTGAAAGTAGCTTCGTGAAGTTGTTAACATGCTCCCTGATGGAAACTCCCCTCTTCATCTTGAACTGGTAAAACCTCTTCTTCAAGTGAAGCCGATTCTTAATGCTCTTAGTAAGATACTTTTCATTGAGTGTTTCCCACATCTTCTTCGCTGACGTCTCGTTCATCACATCATAAATAAGATCCAGCGTCAAACATGACCGAATAACTCCACACGCCCTACTATTCATCTTCTTCTAAACCTTAGCTTCCATCTCGGCAGGTTTCTCTTGTAACTCAAGAGTCTCTTCCAAGTTTTGAGCTTCCAACGCATCCATCACCTGGCATCTCTACAAACCGAAATTGATCTTACCATCAAACTTCAGAACATCGATCTTCATATTATTGATGCTCAAACTATGTATCGTCTTCATAAGAGACGATCCCGATGTGCTTGATTCACCCATGCTGTCGATCTAACTCTTAAAATAGGAATCCTTCAGCGAATCCTTCAAACAAGCCTCAAGTTGAACCCGAAGCTCTGATACCAATTGTTGTGCGCGGCGCAGAAGCGGTCGAATCACACAATCCGAACAAGAGAGATCATAACCAAATAAACAAGCACAATCACCAAATAACACAAGAGATTTATGTGGTTCGGCAAGTTGCCTACGTCCACGGGGCAAGGAGGGGGGAGTTCTTACTATAAGAAATCAAGAGAATACAAAAAGAGTTACAAATCTCACCGATCAAACCTTAAAACAAAGCTTTAGATCACTCACAACTCTCCCACAATTGGATGCAAAAATTCTTTCTTCAAGGCTGCTCAAAATGGTCCTTGAGTTAACCCTAACAAATCAGGTTTAGGGATATATATAACTTAGAAAACGAATCGGGCTAAAAAACTGAAGCCCAGCCCAGAAAACATGGACGGTCGACCGTGACGGTCAACTGCGCAGGTCTCGCGGTCGACCGCGGTGGTCGACCGAACCACAAACCCAAGAGCATAAATCCATGGTCGACCGCGACGATCGACCGCCTTCATCTCCGAAACCCAGTAGGCCTGCGTGCACGTTGACGGTCGACCGCGGCGGTCGACCACCAGTCTGTCTGGCTGGTTCCTTCCTGTTTCCTATAATTCTTCATCATTAACTGACTTATTTCCCGTAGAGTCAGCTACCACAATACAGTAACCATCTACCTCAACAACCATTGCAATAGTAACTACTAACACCCTAATAGTATATGCCTACCTCAGGACAAAATTTATATGTACTCAACTGAGTTTGATTTGTAAGGCATCCAAGTAGCAAAGGATCAATCCCAGTAGCAAGCAGAATAAAGAGAGAGAAATAAAGAGGGAGAGAGAGAGAGAAAATGAAATAGTAGCGCGTTGTAAAAGAGTGTAGTAGTGTGCTAGCTTGTAGTAGAGAGAGTGTCTTTACTGGAGAGAGTATAGAGAGTTGTACTACTAAAGAAATAATAATAATATATTTTTTAGTGTCCACCACTCTTCTCATATCAATAAG